CCCCAAGAACACAGATGCAGAGGGCCTGGCGAGGGTGCACGTGTGTGGGTATGCGTGTGAGAGCTCCGCGTGGGTGGCTGTGTATGTGACACTGTGCAGCAGGTCTGGCTGAACCTGTGTGTGGACCAGCCTGCTGCCAAGTGGGGGGCACTGTATTAACTGGGGTGAACCCTAGCTCAAGCAGAAGAAGGGGCAGCTGCACTGGGGCCCCTCCCCACCCATCCGTGCAGACACCGGAAACTCAAAGACAAGGACAAGAGACAGATGGACAAGCTGAGGAGGTGGGAGACACGCTCCCAGCAGCCCACGTGAGCAGCTTCCACAAGCAGCCGCACCCACAGACACCCACATGCCACTCAGAGGAAGGGCCAGAGTAATATTGTCACAGCCAGGACTCACCCAGCTGCCCCTCAAAGCCAGGGCAGTGCGGGGTGGCACCACGGCCACCTGTGTGAGGCAGGGACATAGGTTGCTCCTTAGAAGCCCCTCCCCAGAGTGAAAGAGTGGGAGGCTCCGTTTGGAGTGAGTTCCAGGGCCAGTGGCTAGGGACACCCAGGGAAGGCTCAGAGGGAGAGTATGCAAGGGCCTCCCACAGAGAGCAGCTGGTTCCAGCAGCATGAGGGGTGCTGGGAGTCAGGGGTCTCCTCGTAGTACCTCTTCCCAGACCTTGCTTGGGGAAAACCATGTTTCCCCCCCAAGGCAGGGCTGCATGCTGCAGGCCTTCCATGTGACCCTGCACAGCTGCAGAACTGCCTGGGTGGCTTCTGCAGGGTGGCAGGGTCACACCTCTCCCCTCTAGGCCCTGTCTGCCTCCTTCCCAGGGTCTGATCTGGGGGCTGAGCCCCTGCCCTCCCACAGGCCTGAAACCCAGCCTGTCCCTGGGCTGACCAGGTGAGGTGTTGAACCCTCCCCAGGGGAGGAGGTCAGGAACAATGGGGGCTGAGAGCAGGCATGGGCATCACCTTGAACACCGTGGTGACACCACACAGCCACACCCCCAGCCACAACCTGACAGCCACCAGTCGCTCCACGGTGCTCCGGAAAGCCCACCACGGCTGACAGTCCACCCCATAAACCTCACACGTGGGCGGCGCAGGGGCTCCTGTGCCCAGGGCCAGGACCACGCCTCAAAGTTGCTCCGGCTCATTCCGGCCCCTGCCCTTGACAACCAGTAGGCTGCTTTGGCCTCTGGGCTTCTGCTGGACATCTCACGTGGACCAGCGACGTGTGTGTGTTCCGGTCACTCCACACACCACATCACAGCAGCTCAGAACATGCCATGTTTTACCTACCTTGTCATCAACTGACGGACATTTATTATTTATTTTATTTTGATTTTTTAAAATGTTGACAGAGGGTGGGAGCACTTGCTGGAGACGGAGAGAGGAGACGTGAGAGAGCGCCCTCCAGAGGGCGGGCCATGTCCCAATCCTTCCTCCTGGCAGGATGCTGGGCACACTCACATGCACATACACCCTGCATGTTTTTCAGGCTGCCTGGTGCAGGACTTGAACCACCGGGTCGAATATATGGGATCCAGCCACCTTAACCACCAAACTGCCAGCCGGCCCGTGATGGACATTCAGTATCCAAAGGGCAAATCGGCAATTATGAACAATGTTGCTATGAGCACGTGTGCTAGGTTGTGGACACAGACGTGGCTCTAGTGACCAGGGCGAGCGGCAGGCCACAGAGCCCACCTGCTACATGTCCCCAGGAGTCCCGGTAGGCTGGCCTCTGCTCCTAGGCAGGCCTCGCAAAAGGAGGCTGTGCAGAGGTGGCTCAGCCCTCCCCACACAGCTCTCCACGACCGGGCAGGGGCGAGGCTGCAGTCCAGGCCCCAGAGTGGGAGGCTGGGGTCTGGGGAGGTGGGAGCCCCAAGTTCCTCCTCAGTCTCAGCAGCCCGCCTTCAACTAGTCCTGGTCGCCTGGACCCGCCTGTCTCCCGACCCTGTTCTGGTTCCCCACTCACCCTACCCCATCTCCCACGACCCCACACGGCCCTGACCCGCCTGCAGAGAAAACAGGAAGCAGCTCAGGCAGCAGGGCTGGGAGGAAGTGCAGGAAGCGGCAGGCGGGCTTGGTGCTTATCTCCGGCCCCAGCCTCGACCCCTGGCCTTGGGCCGGGCAGGGGCGCCAGGGAAGGCCCAGAGCCAGGGCCTGCTCACCTGGCGGGAAGCCCTGACTCCCTCTGCCCCAAGCTACGTCACAGCTGTTGGGGAGGCAAAAGACTCAGCCGGGTTGGGCTGGTGTCCCCTCCAGGCAGAGGCAAGGTCTGTCAATACAATCGGAAGGGACACAGCCCCAGAGACCTGCCTGCTGGCTCTTCCGGATTTCAGATTTCAATGCGGGCAGTGGTGGCTGTTTCTGTGTTTACAAAGCGGGTCTCTGGGGGGGCGGAGGGGTAGGCAGGATGGGGGCTGTCCCTGAGCCTCCCCTAGGGTCCAGAAGGCCACTTGCAGGGACAATGGGCCTCCCACCTGCCCCCCCCAAGTATGTACTTCCTGGGGTGGGGGCCTTGTTTGTTTCCTGAGCTAGCCACAGCAGGAGCAGGGGCGTCCTTGTGCACCTGCAGGGCTCCAGACCCCACACTCACCCTTGCACACAAGGGCAGAGTGCCCTCAAGGCCAGGCATCCTCCAGGTCAGAAGCAGGTGCTTCCCCCTTGGCCTCCTGGTCCAGAGTGCCTCAAGTCTGCTCAGTGCCAGGCCAGGCATACAGTGGCCGTGAGCACCCTGCCTCCCACTGTGGCCCAGCTCCTGTGTCTGTGCTGGGCGAGGCTTGGGCCGGTGGCACCCAGCACCATCTTCCCCGCCTGCACCAGCGCACAGAGCTCCCAGCCTGGGCTGGGACAGCTGCTGCCCTCTCGCCTTGGCGGTGGCTGACGGGTGGGTGGTGAGAAGAGCATGAGGGCGGGAAACGCCAGTGGCAAAATCAGAATCAGCTTTTGGTTTTGCAAATCCAAGGACTTAGTTTGCTGGTCTCCCGAGTTCCAGATGTTCTTTCAAAGCCTCCGGGTCTGCGGAGGTTCCCTTCAAAGCCTGTGGTCCCTCCTTCACAGTGCCACCCCTGGGGGGCCTGGCTCCTGGGCCCTGGGAAGTCTCACAAGCTGGCCAGGCCCCACAGGCCCCATCCGCCACACTGGCACGGCCCGCACCTCCCTGGAAGCAGTGAGTGACGGTCACTGCTGCATGAGTGCTACTGCCCAGAACCCATGTTTCCCAGAGAAAGAACCAGGCTCAGGTCACATGACCTGGTCTCCCACGGGAGTCACCTGAGACCTAGCTCTGTCCCCGTAGACAGTGCTCTGTTCCTGGTAAGTCTCTCTCCATCTCTGGCTGGCTCTGGGCAGGCCCAGCACCCACTGAACACCCACCTGGAGCTGCCTGGTACAGGACGAACACATGCTTCTCCCTCATGGAGCCACAGACGGGCTGTGAGGGGACATGGGGGCCTCTGTGCCCAGAGGGGAGATCTCAGGCACCACAGCCTCCCCTCCAGCCCTGCACCTGTCCCCACAACTCAGCTGGTTTGGTGTTCTCGTCCTGGACAAGGACACTTTGTCCCCTGTAGTGGGTTGGATGGTGGCCCCCAGGCCCCTCAGGTAGGGTCCTTCCATGGAGGAGCTAGAGGGTGTCCACTTCTCATTCATCCCGGGACTCAAGGCTTCAGCATGTGTCCCTGGCCTTCCCCGACTCTGAGGAGGCTGCAGGCTCTGCATGAACCTTTCGCAGTCACAGGGCCAGCAGGAGGGCTCTGCGGTTGGGTGGAAGCCATGTCCAGCGGCCAGCAGGAGAGGAGCACACCTCCAGGTCCTGGGAAAGCGGGGCAGTGGGTCCTGGAGGAAGGCCCACCCCTCCTGCCCACACCCGGCACACACTGGCCATCACGCACAGATACGCCCAGAGCCTACCCTCCTGTTCCAACCAAGCTGGGCTTTTCCTCCACCTGCCTGGACTCCTTCCCCCATGAGTGGTCCCCAAATGAAGGACAAGTTCCCACCCAGGCACCTTGGTCTCCCCGACCCCACGTCCAGGCCCACCAGCTCTCTCGCAAGCCTGAGGCTCCTCCCCATCTACACCCACCCTCCTCCTCGGGCTGTCCCTGCACACCTGCCACCTGCCCACTGAGCCCCATGGAACATGCGACCCAGGGACCAGACCACGGAGGCCTGCAGGAGCGTGCGGGAGCCTGTCAGCAGTGGCTCTCTGCGTGTGAACACAGGTGTGTTCCCTGCCTGGAGTGAGGTCCAGTGGTTCTGTGAATGGCCTGCCTCAGCCTCCCTTTCTGTAAAGCAGGCAGTGGTCCCTGAGGGGCAGGTGACATGTAGCGCACACCAGGGAGCTGGGTCAGTGTCCCCTGTGCCCACTGCCCACCACCAGGCCTTCAGCTCTCCTACTTGCCTGGCCTGACCATAACCAGAGGCAAGCCTGCCACAGCGACCCCGGGAGGGGGGAGCCCTGCTGCCCCACTTCTCCAGGACCGGAGGTCAGGGCGGAGAGCAGGCCCCTGGCCAGTCCCTCAGAGGAAGGTGGGGCCGTGCCTGGAGCTCCAACCCCACCACTGGCCCTCAGGCAGCAGGAAATGGCTTGGCCAGCTCACAGCCAGGGCAGCTGCTCCGCTTCCCCCAGGCCCGTTTCCTTTATCCGGTTGTTTTGCTCCAATTCGCCAAGCCCAAGCTTCCCCTCCCCTCCGTTTCCACCCCGTCCAGGCCGCGAGTGGAGCAGGACGGATATTACAACGTTTTAGAGCCCCATGTGGGGCCAGTAGTCTACCACCCCATCCTCCACCCGGTCGGGAGCCTCTGACTAGCAGGAGCGGCCTCCCCGAGCCCCCGGCCGCCCCCTGCTGCCCGAGGCTGGGAGCGCCACCCGCCGCCGGGCCCAGGTGCGGCTGTGAGTGGAGGCCCACGTCCGCAGCCCTCCGGGCAGACCCGGCCAGCCCAGGGCGCACTCAGGGAAAAGGAAGCGAACCCGCAGCTTCAGCTGTTTATTGAGGCCTCGCTTAGCGCGTGGAGGGCGGGCCCCTGGGTGCATCCTTGGTCGGGCGGGGTTCGGTTTTGAGTCCTGGACCTTTGGGGGCGCAGAGGCCGGCAACACGACGTTAACTACGGAGGCTCGTTCTCAGGCCCTGCGCCAGGCCGGGCTAGGAGCCCCGGTGGCCGCCGCGGCGCGCAGCGCGAAGAGCTTCTCCCAGCAGGTGGCGACGGCGTCCAGGGCGCGCAGCAGGAGCCGCCTCCGCCCTCGGCGAACCCGGGCAGGCCGCGTCTTGGGCTGGCTGCGCCGCTGCAAGGGACCCGGCAGCCCGCGGGTGCGGACCGTGCCCCGCGCACGCCCTACGCAGCTCACTTGCAGCGGGTCGGGAGGGGAGGTGCAGCGGCCCTGCGTGGGGAGGGGGCGACCTGGACCCGCAGACTCGGGGTCCCACATCTGGCGCCACGTCGGGCAGTGGCGCCGCATCACCGCCTCGATGCGCAAGGCCACGGTCCGTGCCGCCTTCTCCAGGACCCCACGACGGCCCTCGGCCCCCGCCCAGAGCAGAGTCCGACCCAGGGACGCGATGGACTGTAGGATACCGTGCTCCTGAAGAGGGGAGAGAGGAGGGCGAGGGCGCTGGGCGGAGCCCCAGTGGGAGGCTCCGAGGGGAGGGAGCAGGCAGGCTTGCAAGGGGGCGCCTCCTCCGTACCTTTTGGGCGTCGCAGGAGCCCCCAGGCCGTCCCTGCGGTCTAGGACCCCCGGCTCCAGTCAGATTTTTCTGGACGGAATGGTGTTCGGGACCTGCCCAGGGCCCTTCGGCTGCAGCTCCTCCGGCCCTCCTCACCGCAGCCTGCAGGTCCTCGAAAATGACGGCGCGGTAGTGGCGGAGCACGTCCGGAACGTTGCAGGCACGAGGCCAGGTGTCTATGGGCTCGGTCCCAAGCAGGGCCAGCAGGAGTGCCCAGAGTGTGGGCTTGAGGGGCACCTGAAGGGGACACCAGCTCAAGGTTGGGACTGGAGCCCGGGGTCCCAGCAGAGGTGCGGTGCCGCAGGGCACCCCTGCTTCCCCCCACACACACCCCCCCGGGTCTGAGCCTGCATGAAGAGGTGTCACCATGGGGCCAACAGGGAGGTGGAGAAACTGCAGGATGCCCACATAGTGGTTCAGGTGCTGGACCCAGTGGCTTGGAAATCACAGCAAACAAATGTTCAAAAATGTCACCATTCAGCCGAGGCTCCGTACAAGGGCCTGGGAGGGTAGGTCCCTGCCTGGTTTAGGGAAGGAGACAACAGACAGGCCTGCAGTCCAGACAGCTCCACACTCCAGAGTGGTGACCACGGCTGGACAGGCCACTCACCCAGCCCTGAAGGGCCAGGAGGAAGAGGGGACGCTGCATGGGAGGGACGAGACCCAGCCGGTTTTGCAGAGCCAGGATGGGGGGAGCATGGCACCCACGCCCCCAGACAGCCTCTCAGGGCCACTTACCCAACCGCACCCCAGAGTTGAGCTCTCCGAGGGTGTGGGCCACTGGGGACACACACTGTGCTCGGTCTGCCCTGCAGAAGCCCAGGCACAAATGTGCCGCCCCGGCGGTGGCTCAAGGACACCCAGGACCTAGGGTCTCTTGCATCCCAACCCAGCTGGGAGAGGGCAAGGGCTCACGCTTCAAGCCACACCCCACTGGAAGGGGAAGGCTGGGGGGAACCTCAGAGGTGACGGAGTGGAAGGGGATCCCCACATCATGCCCCTGCCCACCCCAAAAGGAGCCACTCAGGAGCCTGGCTGGCCCCCAGTCGCCTCAAACCTGCCCTGAAGGAGCTATAGCTGACTCAGGCTGGAAAGTTAATCGTGTGAACCGACCAGGACCACAAGACTCGGCTTCCCAGGCTGCCAGGGGAACCTGACCCAGCAGCACCCCACCCCCGCCAGCGTTGGGTGTCAGGGTGGGGTGGGCGGGATGGGGCGTCTCTGCCTGGACAATGAAGCAGCAAGGCCAGAGGAGCAGATGCACTCCACTTTAGCCCCTTCTGACCCTGCCCAGCTCCACACCCAGCCACCGTGGGAGGGTCAAGCGCCTGCTCTGCCCAGAAGTGCCGGCACTTCAGGGAGCATGTAGCACCCACTTCGCCCAGGGAGACCCCAAGTCCTGTCTGCAGAACACCCTCTGGCCCAAAACCCAGCTCAGTCCTGCATGAGGACAGGGTGGTCCATGTCAGAGGACTCCTGCCCCCAAGGCCAGAAAGGCCAGGGCACATGCACCCCAGCTGAGCCTGCTGCACCAGGGACCGGCAGGGCTTCCTGGGCACACAGGAGCCTGCAGGGGGGCCCTGTGCTGTGTACCTTCCAGACCCTCCGCTCAGCGAGCCCCTCCCAGCAGCTGCTCACCATGGCCCTCACTCCCGCCTCCTCCGAGCCACGCACATGTCCTGGGGTTCGGGCAGCCACACCTGGTCCCACACCAGCAGACAAGGCTCCCCTAGCAGGCTGCCTGGAGGCAGGAGCAGGAGGCGGAGGAGGCTTTTGAAGTTGGCTCCTCTGAGCAGAGGGAGGGCTCAGGAGAGGGAAGGAGGCCACTCCACACAGCCCTGCCCCTCCCTTCCCACCCCATCCAGTCCTTTCAGTTAACCTGGCCCTGTCCCAGCTGACCCAGGACTGCTGCAGGTCCTGATGAAGTCATCAGCCCCAGGGAGGCCTTGCCCTAGGGAACAGGGCAGTGCAGGGCTGGGGGCTGCCTCTCCCAGGGACCTGGTTGCCCTGGCCAGGGAATCCTCCCCCAGCAGGTTACCCCAAGGCAGGGCTTGCCCGGGAGGTCTCGGTCTGGGCCAGGTGCACGGGGATCCGAGCACAAGCCCAAGGGCAGAGGGAAGTCACATCAGAACCAGAGCAACCAGGGCACGGCTCACCGTTACCCTGCACCGAAGAGCACAGACACACTTCCCGAGAAAGGCGGTGCACACGGCACTGCGAGTGGCAGTGCTGGGTGCAGGGCCTTGGACAGTACAGGCCTGAGCACTTCTCCCTCACCCACCTGGCCTGGCTTGAGGTCAGAAAAGTACCCAGAAGCCAGGCCCTGATTCAGGGTACAGAGTCCCCCACCGCTGTCACTGCCCCTTCCAGGGCCTGTGTCTGCACAAGGAGACAGTGGCTTTCAAACTCCAAAAAGCTGCAGGGCTCACTGTTAAACTCAAGGACCCCACACAGCCCCCTAGGATATCCGAGGACACACTCTAGAACACCCTTGAGGCCCCTGGGGCCACTCCTAGGGTCAGGGAGCCTCCCTGAGCCAGACCTGCTCTAGGTTCCTGCTCTGTACAAACCGTCAGTAGTTTCTGACCCCACTGTTGTGACTGGTCCCTTGCCCAGGTCCCAGAAACCAGAGAAGGGGGACCCAGGCCCACTGGCCCTGCCCCCAACCCAGGTGCTGACAGGCGAGGTGAATCCTCCCCCACTGGGGCGTTCCTACGGGGACAGCTGTCCTCCAGAAAGCAGGTCTCCATGGGCTCCCCTCCTGCCAACACCCTCTCTCCAGCGCGAGAGTCTGAAGGGCTACCCAACCGGGCTACCCGGAGCCGGCTGATCCCATCTGAGCACGCACGTGCACACACACGCACCGAGCCCGGGAGGCCCTTCACCCACTCAGCACAAAGGCTGAGCAGCAGCCAGGACTCCGGGGCACATGAGCCGCCCCAGGTATGAGGGCGGTCACAAGCACTTCAGGGAAAACCACTGCTTTATAAATGAGCAAAAGCAGGCCTGCCGGTGGCAGTAGTGGTTCCGTTGCTGGACTTCTACACGGCTGACGGCCATGGGTCGAGTCTCGGACCCACTCTGGCTGTGTGTGTGTGTGAACCTGCCCCCCAAAAGGAGACTGGGGGGAAAAGGGGCTGCACACAGCCATCCTATGGGGGGGCAGGTTCTGTCTCTCTGGTGAGCACACACACACTGTAGTAAAAAATTTTTTTTTTTGGAGAGGTTTTCGCTATAGGGCACGTGCGCTCGCCAGACAGACAGAGAGAGACATAGAGACAGAAAGCGAGAAATCACCCCAAGGGGGGATGGTCACAACGCCATCCCTTCTCCATTCTCCTCTCGGGATCTTGGGCGTGCACGCACACGTGCCCGGCGTGAGTTCTAAGCCACCGGGTCCAGGACGCGAACCGCGGTCGACTATGTGGGAGAGTCCAGACATAGCTATTACGCTAACTGCTGGTTCCCATGTAGCAAAAATCTCTTAAAAAAAAATATAAAAAGACTAATTAGGAAAAAAAATTTATCCATAAAACTGAGAAAAAAGCTCTGACTGGTAACTTTAATTCAATACCCACCCTAAGGGGCCTGGAAGCCGTGTAGGAAGGCCCCTGGGCAGAGCTGGGCTGTGTGCCTCCAGACAGTCCCCTTGCCCAGGGAGCATGGCCCAGCTGGCTGGCTCTGGGCCCTCTGCCCTGGCAGGCGGCACCTCCATCCCGGATGGCTCAGTCCCTTTTCTGCCCAACCTGTTGACAGGTTTGAGTTTCTCCCTTCCCCCACATCTCAGGAGTACTGCAACTCAACAGTGCTTCCTCCGAAGGGCAGAGGCTCCCGTCCAGATGAGCGGCTATGGCCATGGCCACCGCGGGGCGGTGTGGGAGGCCCAGGGGGCAGCAAGAGCACAGCAGGGAAGTCAGCAGGTCACCAGACCGACTCAGAACCTTTAATGAGGACAGACAGAGCGAAGGCCTGGGCAGCCGTTGCCCGGGGCTGCACCATCAGAAGGTGTTCTTGATGCGGGCGGCCACCAGCACGAGGATCTCCCCGACCTTCCGCTGCCAGTTGGCGATGTCTTTGGACACGGCGCACCACAGCTCCCCGTGCCGCGGCTCGGCGTTCTCGCAGCGCTTCCGCACCTCCTCCTGCTGCTCCTGGGGGGGACCACATGGCCTTCAGGGCCCCACCCAGGCCGCTCCTAGCCACAGCGGACAAGGGCAGCCCGTGGAGGACCCCAAGAGGCACAGCTCTGTCCATGTGCCCGTCCAGGCAGCCCTTCTGGGAGAGGGGCACCATGCCTTCACAGCACCCATGTCTATGCAGGCCCACGGGGCCTGGCTGCTACGTCTGGGAGGTCCCTGGACTGACATGTACCGCGATGTCTTTGGCCACGGCGCACCACAGCTCCCCGTGCCGCGGCTCGGCGTTCTCGCAGCGCTTCCGCACCTCCTCCTGCTGCTCCTGGGGGGGACCACATGGCCTTCAGGGCCCCACCCAGGCCGCTCCTAGCCACAGCGGACAAGGGCAGCCCGTGGAGGACCCCAAGAGGCACAGCTCTGTCCATGTGCCCGTCCAGGCAGCCCTTCTGGGAGAGGGGCACCATGCCTTCACAGCACCCATGTCTATGCAGGCCCACGGGGCCTGGCTGCTACGTCTGGGAGGTCCCTGGACTGACATGTACCTCTGGGAGACCCCTGCTGCTGCCCACACCTGGGCTCTGGCCAACGGACAGACCCCAGCCTCCTGGCCATCAGTTCACTCAAACACGCCACAGACTGCTTAAGGCACAGGCATCTGAGCACAGGCTGTGACCAGAGAACAGCCATGAGGCCCAGGCTGCTGTGCGCTCAGGCACCTCCGGGCCCTGGGGCTGCAGGGCCTCACCTCAGTGCCGTGCTGCAGCTCAAACCGGTAGAAGAAGGCCCAGGCGTCCCCCAGGTCAGAGTCGATCTTCACGGTGCGGTGGAACCACTCCCTGGCCTTTGTGATCTTCCGCTCACTCCAAAACAGCCTGCAGGGACCCACGGGAGCGGGTGGTGCTAGGAGGGGCGCAGCCATGGCCACGGCCACTGTTCTCCTCCCAGCAACCCCTGCCCTCCCCAGAGGAAAGCCTAGGGACGGGCCTGGGCTCCCCAGGGTGACCCCAGACTATTAGCCTGGAAGTGCCCTAGCCACTGGGCTCGCCACACTGTTGAAAATAAGCTTACTCACAGACCTCACTTAAGGGCTTCCAGCCCCCTGAGTGGCTATGTCCCTCCACAACAGGAACAAGCAGACAGAACCAACCCTGATGAAAAGCTGTCGGCTCTGAGTGGAGAAGGGTGGACAGGGCCCAGGGTCGCCTGCCCGTCCACTCAGCAGCGACCTCAGCACACCCCCGTGCTCAGGCAGCCACACGAGCTCAGGACAGACGCCGTAGGAAGTCTCCCCTCGCCCCAGGACCTCCCCGCACATACCTGGCGGACCGCAGGCCTCTGCCCTTGGGCGTGCCTCGGCAGTTAGACCCTGCTGGGTGTCCCTCCCCCATCACGGAAGAAATAAACTTAAAAAGGAAGAGCTGGGTCAGCACCAGGGACCTGCTGGCTTGGAGGGGAGTCAGGCCGGGAGAGGAGAGCAGGGGCGCCGGGAGTCCAGAGTGGACCATTAGCAGCCCGGTGAGGACCACCCTGGCCCCCACTGCTGGTGGGCAGGACAGAGGTCCCTGGGCATTGTACTGCTGGCTCACTGCACGTGGGCACTTGGGCACTCAGCTCCCTCCCCCACAGCCAGAGGCCCCGGCTGTTTGGCCTGGGCCCAGCTACCAAACGAATCACTGCATGTGCTGATAACCTGATCGCTTTTTAAGCCTTGTAGCACTTGTAATTGCTTCGTGTTAGATAAACTGTTATTTAAAGAGCACAAACCCAGATAGTAGACTTACGGAACACCTCCTAGAAGACCAAGGAGCAGCTTGTTTGCTTTAGCAAAGGCCTACTGGTTTATGGCTGCCCTATCTCGGCATGGCACCTAGGTTACTCTGGGAGGGATGCACAGGGCAGGTCAGAGGCAGCCCCAGCCAGGCATAAGCTGGGCCGTGGGGCTCCGTGGGAAGCCACTCGTTTGCTGGGGGCCTGTGGGCACTGGGGAAGCGGGGCCCACACAGGACCGAGAAGGCACTGAGCCCAAGTACCACGGCCCCCTGAGGTGCAGAGAAAGGTGCAGCTGTACCAGAGGAAGCTGCCACCTCAGGACAGAAGGGCAGGTGGGGAGAGGGCAGGGCCCGCGCTGGGGGCAGGCACGCCACCTTCGCTGGGGAGCTGCTACCCTGAGCAGGGGCTTGAGGGCCCACGCAGAGAGCAAGGCTCTCCTGAGGGGTCTGTGGAGACTTTAACCCAGGACTCCAAGTGTGGTCGCTCTCGCCCCGGCCCGCACTCAGGCATGGCTGCAGTCAGACTACCGCCCTCCTGGTCCTGCACATTCAGGCCATGTTCTCACCCAATCTTTCCAATACCCTGCTGTGCCCTGCACCCTCTGCCACATGGCCACACGCTGCTAGCCAGCCGCACCATGTGGCACGGGGCTACCGGCTGGGGCCCTTCCCCGCGGCTTTCG